GAAATGGCCTTCGACCTCCTTAGCAAGACTCNAAAATATAATATATATATAATATAAACATATATAAATATATAAATATAATATAATATAAGTATAATATATATATATAAAATATAATATATATATAATATAAATTTAATATATTTAATATAAAATATAATATATATATATAAATGTATATTATATATATATATATATATATATATATATATATATATATATATATATATATATATATATATATATATATATATATATACACACACACATATATGGTGTGTGTGTGTGTGTGTGTGTGTGTGTGTGTGTGTGTGTGTGTGTGTGTGTAATATATATGTGTGTATATATATATATATATATATATATATATATATATATATATATATATATATATATATATATATATATATATATATATATATATATATATATAATATATATATATATATATATTATATATATATATATATATATATATATATATATATATATATATTATATTATATTATTATTATATATATATATATTTATATATATATTATATATATTATATTATATATATATATATATATATATATATATATATTATATATATATATATATATATATATATATGTAATATATAAATATATATATAAATATTATATATATAATATATAATATATATAAAATATATGTAAATACATAATATCATATTTTATATATATTATATATATATATATATATATATATATATATATATATATATTATAGATATATAGATATAGATATATATATATTATTATATAAAAATATTATATATATATAAATATAATAATATATATATAAATATATAATATATATAATATATATTATATATAATATATATTATATATATATATTATATATATATATATATATATATATATATATATTATATATATTTATATAATATCAATCAATCAAGCCGACGGGAGGCGGATAGCCGCATCCACCCTTCACTTCTAGCTACGAGGACCCCTCATGGCAAGACGCCAGGCTGGGACTCGGCCCATCTTGAGTTCTTCACGACAGGTTTGGTCGATCTGCCCAAGCACGACTTCCTAGGTCATCCACAGGCCTCCTCCACCAGGGTTGTCTCGAACAGAGACGACTGATGGTCAGATCATTCTTGGGAAAGCGAGCCAGGTGGCCGTATAGCTTGAGTTGGTGATCACAGATTGTGCAGATAACAGGTCCTGCGCCAGTCTCACGGTGCAATGGTTGGTTGGACACATGGTCCCGCCAACAGTACCCCATGACCCGGCGCAAGGACCTATTACAAAAGGCTTCAGGACGAGCCTCCAAGGTACAGGATAGTGTCCAGGTTTCACCACCGTACAGCAAAACTAGCATTATCAGGGCCCTGAAAACCCGTAGCGTGGTCCTTCTGCACAGGTACCGACATCCCCAAATACTCTTGTTGAGAGAGTTCATGACCCCTACTGCCAGGCCAATCTGTCTGCTGACTTCTTGGCCCAGAATTATGAACTACACTACTAAGGTATATAAAGCTCTCTGTGGCTTCAATGTCCTCGCCGCAAGCACATACCGACTGAACAAGTTCTCCAAGCAAGTCCCCAAAGTCCTGGACCAGACCTCTAGACCCAAGGGTTTCGCTTCATTGCTAAATGCATCCAGAGCCACCACTAAGGTTTCCAAAGACAGACAGAATAGCAACATCATCAGCAAAGTCAAGGTCAGTAACCTTGATATTGCCCAGTGTTGCTCCACAATGACTTTGAACAGTAGCTCTACCTAGTATCCAGTCCATGCAATTGTTGAAAAGTGTTGGTGCAAGGACACAGCATTGCCTCATTCCTGAACTAACAGGAAAGAAGCTCGACAGGCCCCCACCACACTTTACAGCACTTTCAGTACCAGTATACAGGCTTGCTATAGGTCCAATAATCCTTGTTGGAATTCCTTTCAGTCTCAGGATCTCCCAGAGTGATTTTCGAAGCACCGTGTCAAACGCCTTCTTGAGGTCGATGTAGGCTGCAACGTGTCAAACGACTCGTCGGCGTTCTACAATGACTCGAAGCGCAAGGATACGGTCTATTGTGGACTTACCAGGAGTGAATCTGGATTGCTCCAGTCTCTGATGCCTCAATAGATGGTCTCTGATACGTCTCAGAAGGATGTGGGCGAGAAACTTGCCTGGTATACTGAGCAGTGTGATGCCTCGGTGATTGCTACAGTCCCAACGGTCCCCCTTCCCTATCCAGAGAGGGATGACCACACCCCTCAACAGGTCAGGAGGAACGGTACCGGACCGCCAGATGGCAGCCAGGACAGCATGTAACCCCCACGCCATAGGTTCACCACCAGCCTTTATCAGTTCATCTGGTATGCCGCAGATACCTGCTGCTTTATCACTCCTCAGCTTGGAGATCGCACCCCTAACTTCAGATAGGGAGGGAGGATCCTCATTGATGGGTGGGTCCGGCAACGGGATCTCGGCACTACCCACATCTAAATTAACTGTTGGTGGGTCAACCTGGTACAGCTGCTCAAAATACTCAGCCCAACGTTCCCGCACCGCAACAGGATCTGAAACGATCTGACCACTTACTAATCGAACTGCAGTGACAAGAGAGCTTGGAGTTCAGCTTTCTCAGGGCTTGGTATGCAGGACGAAGGACATTTACTAAGAAATGGCCTTCTACCTCCTCTGCAAGACTCCTAATAAACTGTTCCTTGTCCCTCCTTCACAGAGACCGAGTTCTGCGCACATGAGACCGGTGCAATTCCCGATCCCTGTCAGACGAGCCGCACGACAAACATCTGTGTCTTCCAGTGTCTCCTGCGAGATGAAATTCTGCATTGCTCTCGGGCGTACACCAATCGTATCGAGTTGCATCAAGCATTTCACGCTTAAAGGTATCCCACAGGAGAACAGGGTCCGTCAGACTGTCGAGCATTGTGAAACGACCAGAGATTGCCTCAGCAAACCCGCGGGCACACTCCCCCTCCCTCAGCCTGTCCAAATGAAACACCCTAGGGTGATCATTTAACCGCTGGGGGGTTTTGAAGTGGACCCGGAGGGTAGCCACAACCAATCTATGGTCAGTACCACAGAACTCAGCACTCCTGTACACCCTGCAATTCTGGAGGATCCTCCAACGAGTGCTAACGAGTATGTGGTCGATCTCCTTGGCTGCATTACCCGCATCGCTGTACCATGTCCAACGATGTGGGTCCAGGCGTTGGTACCAGGAGCCAGAAATCCTCAATTTCTGGAACCTAGGAAAGTCCCGGAAAAGGAGGCTATTCTTACTTCTGACATCAGCTCCTGAGCCATGGGGACCGACAGACATATAGCCAGCTCGATCACAACCAGATACCACATTGGTCACCCAGAACAATGCGAATATCTCGCCGGGGACATCTATCTGCCACAGATGCAAGTTTGGTATAGAACATCTCTTTCACGTCGTTTACAAACATCGGTAGGAGCGTACACAGCAATAAGAGACATGAAGCCAAGAGATAGCTTCAGTCTCAATACCATACGCTCATCAACAGGAGTAACCTCTACTACCGAGGGCTGGAGTCTGCTGGAGATGGCAATGGCTACTCCCTGGAGGTGATGACCGTCGCTGCGGCCCGACCACTAATAAAGGTAGCCATCTACACTGGTCACGCCCCTGCCAGGTCTCCTCACCTCTGAGAAAGATAATATAATATATATATATATATATATATATATATATATATATATATATATGAACACAAGCACAAACACAATACGTGAACAAAAATGAAAATGAAACGCCACAATGAAAATTGAAAATAAACGTGACGTTACGAACTCTTCACGAGTTTCTCTTCAGACAAAAAACGAAATGGATACCAGGAGAGAATTTTGACGTTTATATAGTGATAGAGAAGCAGAATGAACAAGATCTGAATCAGGTCTCGGGGAGGGTTAAAGTCGAAGAGTCTGGGGAAGGCTTTGCTAACAAGTGACGAGGTAATATCATCTAATCCCATTGGCCAGCACTCAAAAAAGTAGGCATTTTTCTAATTAAAAGGGCTTCAATTATTTTTCTTTCGTACGAATTTGACGATCTATGAATTAATTTGGCGTCTTTCCAATTTAACTGATGTTCTTCGTCACGTAAATGAGTAAAACAACTCTGGCGTATCTGACATCACCTTTATTTTCATTAATTCTTTTTTCAAAAGGTCTGTAAGGATGTCTGATATGTTGGGAGGTCGGTGAAGGGAGGATAGGTGGGGGAAAGCAGAGGTGCGGGTTGTAGTAAAGCATGGACAGGACAACTGAATGTGTGGAACTGAAAGAGGGACATTGCATAGGGGACATAGGGGCGGGTCAGAGCGTGACATTAGATAGGCGTGTGTTAGGCGGATGTGGCTAATAGTAAGCGTGCGAGGGCCGTCTCCCAACGTCTATTCCGGTGAAATGGAGCTGACCAAGAGGAGGTTGATGGTTTTACAGTGTGCAATTTATTATTGTGGATGCTTGACTAGAAAAATTGTCATCGGGTATACAAGAAGGTTTTAGAGTGAGGGTAATAATCCGTGGCTGGAACATGTGAGAAGCGTGGTTGGTGTGATGTGGACAAAGCGGCGTAGCGTGCTAGAGTATCTGCCTGTTCATTGCTAGGGATTCCAATATGGCTGGGCACCCAGTAAAATCTGACAGATTTATGGCGTGTGAACAGGTAGAACAACCAGTTCTGGATCTTACAGACTAGGGGATTGGTTGAGTGCATAGGCTTTATGGGGGTTAATGAGTTACAGGAGTCTGTAAAAATTGTGAAAGAGGAAGAAGGGAGTGGTAGTTGGGGACCTATACATGAGCGAGAGAAAAGGATGGAGAGAGACTTGGAGGTATAGATGCGAAAGCCATGGTAAGTGGCCCAAAAAGATACTGATCTTATTGCAGACTGAAGGAATTGACGGAGATATGACACGGATGTGCCAGATGCGTAGATGGTTAAGTCATCAACATA